ATGAGACTAGTGAAGATAATTAAAATGTGTTTAAGCGAAACGTAGAGTAAAGTCTGAGTAGGTAAAATTTATCTGACAAATTTCCTGTGCAGAATGGTTTAAAACAAGGAGATGCTTTATCTCCACTCCTTTTCAACTTTGCCTTAGAATATGCCCTTAGGAAGGTCCAGGGAAACCAGGTGGGACTGAAACTAAACGGGACACATCAGCTGTTGGTCTACGCCGATGATGTGAATCTACTGGGTGATAATGTAGATACCACAAAGAAGAACACACAAACTTTAATTGACGCAAGTAAAGAGGTCGGTCTAGAAGTAAACACAGAGAAAACTAAGTATATGTTGCTGTCTCGTCACCAAAATGCAGGTCAAAATCGTGACATAAAGATAGGAAATGGATGTTTTGAAAATGTGGCATAGTTCAGATATTTGGGAACAATGATAACAGATCGAAACCTGATTCAGGAAATTAGGAGGCGATTGGAATATTTTCAATTAACCTAATCCTTCCAGCAGCACTATGGCCCTGGGGTCGACTCAGCCTCTAACAAAAATGAGTATCAGGTTATTCTTAGAATATTCTTGGGGGTAAAGGGCGGCCGGCACGTAGGGCTGACAACCTTACCGCCATCTATGACCCGATTGTCTAGAAAATGTGCGAACCTCAACATCTCACAACCCTATGGGCCTCCATGGCCTGTTACAGGGATACCTTTACTTTCACTTTTTACCTCTTTATTAATAGTTGATACACATTGATCTGTCATTTCTTTTATTTCTTAACTAGTTGGGAGTCATGTGCGGACGGAGTTTACTCAGATCCAGGCAGATGAAGTCAGCGCTGAACTACGAATATTTATGCAGGAATCTTAGCTGTTACAGGTTTTCTGATTCAAGACAGTGTATTTCCTTGTTAGGAATAAAATAATACAGCTCGTACCTCCGTGACTTACCACTTAAATTACTTTCGTATAAGGCTTGTTGCTCCATTGCTTATGGCAACCCAGAATTGTGTAATCTCAGAGCTTTCATTATCCGTTACAAAACTTTATGTGTGATTTATTTAATGATTCTTTCAGAACAAAAATATAATAAGGGGTCCCGACGGGGCCCGAGTGTGCTGACGAAGGCCAAACTCAAGTTAATCCTCTATTTCAGCGACGCTGTGGGCATCTCGAATGGAACAGTGAAAAGGAAAGGGTGCGGCAGGAAGCGGCCCACGGTCTAATTTGAGATATAATTCCGACTTTTGCCTGGAGGGACTGAGAAAAGACGCGGAATTTCCGAGTCAGGATATTGAGCTCGTCTAGCGTTATGACTTTAGCGAATTCCTTCAGTGTTGAACGAAACACTCTGTAACCAATGATACAAATTCAGAAATTCGCCCACTTCAACCAAGTCGGATGGTGTTGCTGCCACGTTCTCGACTTCCATCCGGGAGGTGCTCGCCTCGAATCTCGGCCAGGCCACGGGCTATTCTCATTGAAATTTTCTGTTTTCATCAGTCGTCGAGGCAAACTCAGGGATAGTACCCCACTTAGGCTATTACCAATTCCTTCAAAATCGTTTCAAATTAATCAGCCATCCATTTAACGTTATATAATTTAGCTACTGAATGCATTGTAACGGATTCGATCAACGAGCTGCCAGGCAACAGCTCTGTAAACACGGTCCAACACGAAACGATAGATAAGGCTGTGTTTTTTATGTCGTCCGTGCCACGCTCAGTGCTGCTAACGAACAAATGAACTAGCTGTCTGACATGTGACACGCGTTTTTTACGTGGCCTGCGCCATGCAACAATAGATGGGCTGTGTTTGCTGTGCGTGGTCCGTGCGAAAGGATATGAGAGAATACGGGAATTGAAATTGACTTCACTTGAATTCGGAAGTTCCAAACGAACAGCAATGTGGTCAGAAGAAGAATTAGAAGACTCAGTGTGTGATGTTGCATGTGCAGTAGCACATCGATATTGGGAGTGTGAAATTTAATGAGACTTTTACAGTTCCTATGTTATAAATGCGTTGTCAGGAAGGGCTTGTCAAGACCACTGGAAACAGACTGAGAAGATTGGTGTGGAGTGATTGTAAATTGTGTACATCAGCAGTAGTGTAATAATCAATTGTAGTTACGACTAGTGAAGATCCAAAAAACCGATTCACCAATCGAAACCCGCGCCTTAGTCACCAATACACATGACAGTATAATTAAATATTCATAAAAAGAGCTTACATTCTCTTTCGGTTTTAAGTCAATGATTCTATTATGAATAGGGAGTCTGTGTGTTATTTCGAAACATCTGCAAACTTTTCCACCGTTACATCGAGTCAGAAGTTACGAATCCCTAGAATCTCACAAGAGTGTCTGTGGACTCCTTCCATCATCAGAAATTCGGTTTGGATGGGGGGCGGGGGCAAAACAAATACGTCAGTCGTATTTGAGTTGCTCACTGCCGTAAACATGAAGATTATAGTCTTCTGTGTTGTAAAATCGTGTATTTCGGAAAGAAACCAGACGTTTCAGAGAAATATATTGCCTCCATCTTCAGGATTGAAGAGTAAGTCAGGTTCAGCTTGCCGCCTGCTGCTGTTGGTTTCTTGTTTACTTTCTACCCTGAAAATTGTAGCAATATGTTCCTTCGAAACGTCAGGCTCTCTTCTAACTGCACGGCGTTACAACCCATAACACTGTGTTCTTGAGCTAGATCCGCTTCTGTATGTTGTCTTCTGCTTAGCCTGGTATATGCTTAACAATATTGAGAGTGGATCCACGGAAAGGTTTTGTTACAGATGCATATGTAGTTTAAATATGATACAAACTCCATTATGCTAAACATTTTTATTTCTGATACAGTGATGGGAATTAAGTTCATAAAAGAGGGTACATAGCTGTCGTAAGCGAATGCTTAGCACGTGTATGTTTTCATCTCAGAAAATTCAGTTAACATTAACTGTAATATGAAGACTTGGAAGGTCTTATTGGCTTGATGTTTCAGCTGTCTTGTTCGCCGCTGCTGCTACTTCCTGGACGCATTTCTGGACATCTTCGCTGATGCTCTGGATCTGCGCACTAGCACTCTGGAGATTCGATTCAAATGAAGCCCCCAAATTGCTAACAAACTGAGATATGATACTTTCTCCTGACGTAAGAATGTTGCTAAACGCAGAGGTATACGCTGTGGCCAGGTCTCTTGCTGCAGCTGCAACTTCTAGGGGACATTTAATGAATCCTGTGAGTGGGTTTTTGACTAAGCATGTTGTGAAGTTCAGTGCAACCTGGCCCACAGAGCCCGATGCTTGTTTAGCAAGAGAACTTGCTTGGTCAGCGTAAGCCTTTGCGTCCTCGCTACTGCTGGCGGCCTTAGCCTGAATTTCGTCCTCTGTGAACAAAGACATGAAGAACTGCTAGCCCAGATTCTTAAAATTGAAAATGAATGGCCAAAAACAAACAAATAACTAAAAAGTTCTGTCTTCTGCCATATAACTCGTGTGTAGTCCACTGAAAGTCAACCGATCTTTCGGAGGAACGTGGCACCTCCATCTTCAGGATCGAAGAATAAAACAAGCTTGCTATCCGCTTCTAGACAGTCGGCTCAAAGATGGCAGTAAGGTTGTCAGCCTTACGTGCCGGCCGCGCTTTACTCCCCAGGAAAATTATNGGACCCTCAGCGTCTCACAACCCTATGGGCCTTCACGCCTGGTACAAGGATAGCTTTACTTTACTTTTGCTATCCGCTTCACGCTTGCTGTTTTTTCTTTGTTTATTATATATCCTTAATGATTGAAACGCCATGTTGTTTTTTTTTCGAAACGTCTGTTGACTTTTCAACGAATTACAAGGTGTTATATCCCATATGACGTAACTCTTTGTAATTACCGCTGTGATAACATCAAATGTTATAAAATAAACGATTAACTAGGACGTTACGTAGTGTAGTCAGGTAAATAATTACATTTATCTCGGTTAATCTATTCTGAGTGAGCCGATAGGGACAAAATGGCCCGTTTAAGGGCCACTTTCCACTCTTCTTGTTACTGGCGGTTCGCTCTGGGCCCTTTCCCATTTCTGTACTACTTCCTCCACTGTCGGTTTACCCCGCTTGGTTTATTCTTCGACCGTGATGAAGGAGACAATTGGAATAGTTCTACCAGACTGCACTGCGTCACAATAGGCTGGTGGAACGGTGATGCTGTAGGCTTATATTCGGGAGGTGTTCGTCTCGAATCTCGGCCAGAACACCGGCTATCTTAACTGTGGTGGTTTTCCTCAGTTCCTCCAGGCAAATGCAGCTGTAGTACCTCGTTTAGGCCATGATCACTTCCTTGCAAATTCATTGCAGCTAATTATGTACAAACTATTCTACTGTTCGACGTTATACACAAACAGCGCGCCGCCTCGCCTTGCTATTCCAAGAAAACGCTCTTTAACAGACAAGAATACAAGAGGTTCTGGGAAGAACCAATTACCTACTTACCATTGATACGACACGGATCGCATGAGAAGTGACGCTTCCAACAATTCTTCTATTGTTGCATGTGTATTCTTTGTCGCGGTAACATTCTTACGCAGCCGTTGCCTAGCAACGTTAAAGGATACACATACAGGCAAATAGATTGAAGGGAGGAGGATTTATTAATTACGCCGTTGAAATGGGCTGACATGCCGTGATATACATAGCAAATTTCATAAATATTGGTCCAGGCATTCAAAAGTTGAATGGGGTGGGGTAGAAATTCACAGACGGTGTGGTGATCTCATGCGCCTATTTTTATTTTTTATTTTTCAAAAGAAGGAAAGAGGGCAATGAGCCGTGTGAATGAGGAAACAGTGTCCGACGTTTCAGAGACTCTCACTGCCTGCCTCCTCAACTGTTATTACGATCAGTGGTGTGTGTTCGCACGCTGTTTCAGTTTATTCAATTAGTGTAAAATTGAATGTAAAATTCCATGACATGGAAACGCGCATCTCCACGCAAGGCATTTGATGGAAGTAAGCGGTTAGCTTCACTCCTAGGCCGCTTTGGCGGTTTGGGGCAAATTTCTGCTGGCTCTTACCGGCACAGTAATTTTTGGTTCCGAGTCCCTCTCGACTCATGGCAATATTTTACTGTGACACGACTCTGGGAGTCACGCAACTGTCTCCTAAGTCTCTCTCTGTCTGTCTGACTGACTGCTAAATTGTTTTTGGCCCTCGCCAGCCCAGTGATTTTTGGTTCCGAGTCCCTCTCGACTCATGGCAATATTTTACTGTGACACGACTCTGGGAGTCACGCGACTCTCTCCTAAGCCTCTCGGTCTGTCTGTCTGTCTGTCTGTCTAACTGACTAACTGACTGACTGACTGACTGACTGACTGACTGAGTGCTAAATTGTTTTTGGCCCTCGCCAGCCCAGCGATTTTTGGTTCCGGGTACCGCGGGACTCATGGCAATATTTTATGGTGACACGACTCTGGGAGTCACGCAACTATCGCTTAGGCCTCTTTCTGAGTGACTGACTGCTAAATTGTCTTCGGACCTCGCCAGCACAGTGATTCTTGGTTCCCAGTCCTGCGGGATTCATGACCACCCTGGGAGCCGAAGTATAAGCTCCGGTGTGCTTATAAGCAGGGTAAGTTGTCTGCTCCGCGATCGCGGACTTCGAGTGAGCAGTAAACACATTAATACTATCAGAATACATACTCGTGCTGTTGATAACAGCAGATGCTTGTTGCTGTCCGTTCTGAGCGCAAGTTTTGACCTGGGAAGCAGACGTATCATTGGAATATGCACTGACGAGTTTATCTTGTGCATCTTTGAACCTATCCTGCAGTGACTGTATGAAGTTCTGGGCAGTAGCCAGCGCCTCGGAGATGGCCCGTTCCGCTCTGTCTCGGAAACTCTCTACCCATGATTGGATCTGAGACGCTATGTCTTGAAGACCGCTTTTGGCTTGGTCGGTATTAGAGTCCGCTGCGACGAACTGAAACCATAGACCAGGAACAATCATTTATTTACATGAAGACTATCCCAGTAACGCAGGTTACATTGTGTAGAATGATATAAGGCAAAATTTGAGGCCCTAACTCCAAAATTTTGTAGAGGGACTGAGGAAAGCCACGAAAATTTCGTGTAAGGTTTTTGGGCGGCGATTTGAACCTTGTATTTTCTGAAGAACAGTCCGGAGTACCATTCAGTCTGTCGTGACGTTTGGTGGGAAATTGAATCCCTCAGGCCTGCTGCTGAACATGGAAGGAAATGTGGTTTTAGTATACAAAAACGTATTTCATGGCGCATAAGCTGTGTCACTTTTGAGTTCCCGCTGGAACACTCACCGCCTGCCTGAGAGCCTGGTCGGAGTCTCCTACCACACTTTTCTGTAGGTGCACAACATCTCTTCATGCCATTTTCTCCAGACACAAGGGAGAATCATTAAATAGGTCACAAACGAGCATAAAAAGTAAAAACTGAAAGGAAACTTTATTTTCTCGACATGTCCTCCACCAACACTGATACACTTCTCCCGTCGCCTTATCAGTGCGTCGAAACTCGCAGCATTGAAGTCTTCTGTTGTCTCAGCCACTTCAGCACCTCCGTTTCAAATTTGTCTTCGTCATTGAAATATTTGTCATTCAGTTGTGAAAGGCTTTAGGCGACAAACACTTCCCACCGTAAATAGGACACGTTTATTTGTGAATATTTTTTATATTGAGTACTTTTCCCACAGAAAACGCACAAGAGAAAGCTGCTCTTCGGTAGTATGTATGTAAGGTTTCTTAAGTTTGAAATGAAGGCTCTGAAAATTTTGTAAGTCTTGGTAAACATCGCGACGAAGTGTAGAGTGTTAAGAGGTCTCATGAAAGTAAATTACACAGCAGGTCGTAAAGGAGCCAACAGTCTTGGTTTAGTATATCGTGTCTATTCTGTGAGTGGTATTTTGATGTGAATATGTGAAATATAAGAGCACTATATAAAGGAGACGATTTACGATTGATTATTTATGCGTTTTATTAGTGGGAGGTCGCGTTAAACTTCAGCCTTGACGCATCATTCTGCAACATGTAAGGTTAGAAAGGTGTGCGGGGGGAAGTAGCCGAAGATAATGTCACGAAGTCGTGAGACTTCTCTTTGAATTTCAAACGGATGTTGCAGTTGTTTTCAATACAAAATATTTCTTTTGTGTGGATACGAAATACTTCATTTATGTAACATTTTAAGGTTCTCGCAGCGGTCATTATGAAGAGTACTGTCTCCTGGGATATGACGCACGTAATTTGGTAGAAATTTATAGACGTTTCGGAGTAAATCTTCTCTGCTCGCTTGCACATTTGCCCGGCCTATTATCTACTCCAAAAATTGGGGGCAGTGTGTTCCTTCGAAATGGTAGTGAACTTCGACTAAATTATACGGCGTCACATCCCAGAAAATAGCGTTCTTAGCTTCCTCTTATATTTAATCGGAACAGAAATTTGAGAGTTCGGAAGTCAAGTGGTTAGAAAATATTTTAATTAAAAAATTAAGATGAGTGTTTGTTTAGGGTTCAGCACAAGATATTTTTTTATTTATACAGGGCACCTAGTCAGGCTAGTGAAATATGGAATATTACAATGGGCTCGGCATGTAGCTAGGATGAGACAGAATAGCACTTGATATCTTCAGAAAGGAAAACCTTTCTCTGGTTTCCATTTGAAAAATCCGGAAGATGTGATGATAAAGTAGATCTTCCTTGTGAGGATGGGAGACGGACGAGGTAGGAAAGTTCTAGTAACAGGTTTTGTGTCATCAGGTCTTAGCGGGTTTACAGTGATGTATTTATACCATAAGAAATTGTAGATTTGTAATCATCTAAGTATTTTTGACCCAGTTAAGGAAAATGGCATATGGAGATCAAGGTATAACCACGAACTTTATAAATTATGTAATGAACCAGATATAGTGGAAGTGATCAAAATAGGACGGTTTGGGATGCTTGGGACAACTCTTTGTAATACAGGAACAGAACCCTTGCAGGAAGTCGTCTATCTACAGTTGTACAATCCTTTGTTGGGCCTTGGCCGCTTTTTCAGTTTTCTTAATCCTATACACAGTCGGTAGATCTCCTTGGACTGGGGATCAGCTCATCATAAGGCCGCTACCTACACACAGGACAGCACGAACACAGAATAAACGCACACAGACATCCACACCTCGAATGGGATTCGAACGCACGATGCCAGCATTCGAGCGGGCGAAGGCAGTTTTTGTTCGGCTTGCAGGAAATTAACTGTACATAAACCAGCGGGCACCCGACCAGTAGGCAAGTCAACTGTCAGGTGGCTGCGTTCGCTTGAACATTTGAACAGAATGGGCGTTAGAAATTGGAGACGAAAGTCATAGGACGGGGACCAGTGGAGATGAATAGTGAAACAGGCCAAGGTTCAGCACGCACTGTAGCGTTAGCAGCAGAAGAATTATCTTCTATGTAATGACATCATGTATACATATAGGTGATTACGACGTTTCGTAGGAACCTGCCGTCTCCATTTCAGAGCCTCAGTAATTGACAACGCAGCAAATTATGTGCTCGGCCGCACCATAGCTCAAGCGGTTAGTCGCTGGCTTCCCACCGCGGCGGCCCGGGTTCGATCCCGGGTCTGGTCAAGTGGGATTTGTGGTGGACAAAGTGGCGCTGGGGCAGGTTTTCTCCGAGTACTTCGGTTTCCCCTGCCAATCTTCATTCCACCAATTGCTCCACAATCACCCTCACCTATCATCTGGGGCTGGTACAATAGGCCAGAAGTGGCCGCAGTACAAGGGACTTAGTCCCACCCCACTAGCAATAAAAAAAAAACGTTATGTGCTCATACGTGGTGACGCTCTGCTGCCTTGTGTAAAACATTACTGTTGTTCAGTGGGGAATGTCGGTGTGTACTGCCCAAAATTAGAACGGGTTGCGTATGGTAACTGAAGCGGAATCATTATGTTTATAGTTATATTGGCATGAAGGTAACCTCCATGAGCTAAAGTCCAGCTTATAATGCCATGTAAATAATTTAGATTATCGTAAATGACTGTTGAGAGAAATAAATTGTGTTTAAAATGTCTTTCAGTCTGCGTCATCTAAAGACAGTGGCTTAACTTATTGCGTTGTCATTAGAAATCTACTAGACTCTGTTTTCAGCACAAGATGTGAACCACAATCACCAAACCGGAGATCTCACTGAACACATGCTGTCTACAGTGATTTTGCCTACTGAAACTGTGAAGCGCCGATCACAGTGGCCGCGCTGTCTAAGGCACGAACTGTCTACTCGCTCGAACGCTGGGATTGTGCGTTCGAATCCCATTCGAGGTATGGATGTCTGTGTGCGTTTATTCTGTGCTCATGCTGTCCTGTGTGTAGGTAGCGGTCTCATGATGAGCTGATCCCCAGTCCAAGGAGTCCTACTGACTGTGTATAGGATTAAGAAAACTGAAAAAGCGGCCAGGTCCAACAAAGGGCCGAAGGATCATTGTTGAATGAACGTAGTTCTGATGTACGTACAATCAGTTGTGTATCAGACAAGACCAGACATCATAGAATCGCATTTGAATGGTTTAGTTTCTGTAAGAAGAACTTGTAGACTCACCTGAAAGGCGCAGAGCGCAATGATGACAAGTCTGGCGTTCATGCTGGAGTTTGCTTCGTCGGTTCAAGTGCGTCTCGTAATCCAGGGCTTGTCTTTTTATACTCGGGATATGGTGCAAAATGAGGAAACTACACCCCAAACAACTGAATAAATATAGTGTATTTGTAGCTTCCTGTGTCTGTGACCTTCCAATTGTTTATTTAAAATGTTTACGAAACATTGAGACTCACTGAAGAATATAATTCCTGGAAGATATTGCGTCGTTTGAAATTCATTGCTAGGAAATGAAGTTCGATCATTCAACTTCTGCTGCTCTCGTTAAGGTTCTCACAGCAGAATCTTCCTGAAGGGTAAAAGGCGCCAGCCCGTAAGGTTGACAACCTTACCGTCATCTGTGAGTCTGCAAAACGTGGGAGACTCGACGTCTCAACAACCCTATTGGCCTCCAAGCCTTATTACCTGGATAGCTTTGCCTTTTTTTACAGCCGTGAAGATTACGTGCAATGTTCTCTGGAATATGATGTCGTATATTCTCGTCCATAGGCAACCATATCTGTTGAGGAATCTGTTCATGCCATCACGTCTATCCTGAAGAAGGAGGCATCAGGTTCCTCCTAATCGTTAATGAATATCTATCATGCTAGAGGCCGTTTTATTTCGTATTCTTTCAAGTGCTGAATATTATCGAGTCATACTTCGAGACCGATGCTTAACTCCATCTCCCACGAACAACACGAGTCAATAGCCAGTTGTGAACCACACCAGCATCAACATATTCTCAATACAGAACAGATAAAAGGCAAAGAATGAGAGGATGCTCGTCCGTTTGTGACATACTACACAACTTAATTTCATGCATCTTGCTAATGCTGTACGATTCGTTGCTATGGTAATTCGAAATTACGTAATTTTAGAGCTTCCATCTTACATTTGAATATACAGTGTTAGAGAACAAACAACCTGTCTCTGATAATACAAATTTGAGGTTGCTCTGGGATAGGAGGATGTGCGTTGTTGCAAAGTTCTATGCATTTTGCATACTGTTTCAAAAATGGTTCTTCTTGTACATTCTTCGTAAAAAGCTTGTCGTCTTGCTAAAGAATATTTTCTCTCAACCCACTGTAAATATCACAGCAGCCTTGACTGAGTTTTTACTGATAGAAATCCGAGTTTGTTGTGTTCTATTTGACGACATTTCGGCTGAAAACGTTCCCTTTGAGGCTATCACAGCGCTCTTTATGAAGAGTGCTATTTGTCAGGATAAGACGCCATGTAAACCGGAAAAATTTCGTCAGATTTTCGCATGATTCTTCCCGTGTTTTTGCTTTGATTACTTTTAGACTCTGGAGATGGAGGTACTAAATTCTTCGAAAAGCCGATGGTCTTTCACCAGACACTCGACATTACAATTCATACTTTGGGGACTGTTAATGGATATCACACTTACCATGCTAAATGTTATCCAGCAGCAGATTGCAGCTGTAACTGTACAATGAGGAGCCTTATAATGTTCACTGTTTTTAAAATACGTAATTACTTGAAACATCAGATCAAGGTTTATATTGTAACGTGTCTGGAATCCAGAAGAATCACTTCTATGGAAACGCTAGAACAGACCGTTGCATAAGAAACATCGAATCTCCATGGTTACGACGAATACGCGAAGCGTTCCAACAGAGACAACGCGATAACAATGGGTTATTGCGTAGGAAACGCAGAACCAACAGAGCAACGTCTCCACTGCTATAACAGAGAGTTCGTTGCATAGCAGCGTCCAAGGTTATAAATATCCCGGCTTCGACGAGAAGCAGTGGAGTCTCGGATCGTCCATCGGAGAAGTCAGTCCCGGAATAGCCTTCAAAGGAGTCAGTCGTGATCGAGCCATCTTAGAATAAAGTCCTAGAATAACCGCCAGAGAAGAGAGTCCAGTGTCGGCCGGAATATTGTAAGCAGTGATTATAACACTGCAAGTGCAAATGTTTGTAAAGTGTGTGAAAGGCGAGCGAACAGAATAAACTCGCTATACCAAACAACGGCGTGAAGTTATTTGTCGCGTTATACACCCAATACGTGACAACTGGTGTCAGAAGTGGGATTGAACTACACACGTGACTGACAAGATTCGAACTCAAGACACGTGACAACTGGTGTCAGAACTGACTTCGAACTTTAACACGCGGCCTACAACGCCACACAAAAAAAAATGGAGTCACAAAAGATAATGGAACTCCTGCTAGCCATGCAGGCAAAGGCCGACGCCAGATACGAAGAAGCGAATACCAAGGCGGAAGCCAGACACGCACAGATTATAGCCGATTGGAAAGCCTGGGGGGAAGAGAGGAGAACTTCCCACAAGAAAATAGTGCCCGAAACAGATGAAGAGCCGACTTCCGTAGAAACGAAACCTGAGGTGGCAGAGCATCAAGAAGTCCCCATAGAAGACGCCCCGAGAATACCGGTCGGAGAACCGAAGAAAAGGCGTAGGGACCAAGGACTGGCCGCGGAGCCCCGCCGCCAGAAAGCAAAGGGTTTGCAACGGGGAAATCGTGGACCCCAGGAGAAATTGGCCGTCACAAACAGGAAGACATCCCGTCGCGCTACAGTGGCACGACGTTGGAGAAAAGACTTCAAGAAGGAAACTCCCAAGGGAACCTTCGGATGCCAGCGTACAGGAAAGAAAGTAACAAGGATGGTAGGCGGCAGAAAGCCGCTATGCGAGAAGAAAAAAGTGCCAACCAAGAACGGCATCGGAGGGTGCAGGCCAGGACAGCGATTGCACCCAGGAATGAGAAGAAAGCGAGAGAAGACCACCTACGAGGCTGCCAACGTGAAGAGCACAAAACTACTTATCAGGTTTACAGCGAAAAGCTGGACACTTTGGTGGGGGTAGAGCCCTCCATAAGTTCCAATTCTTGTGCTTTTGTAGGCTGACAGAAGATCCGGCTATTTGCTTCGCGATCTTCCCCTGACAATCTCGTAGAAGGCCTTCTTGCAAGTACTTCTCCCTCCCAGGCGCGATAGCGTACACGCTACTCCAAAGTAGCGTGTTTTATGTGTCACGCTACAATATATATCCAGTGGGACATGTAGAACGTATGAATACCTTGACAGACAGATCTGATGGGAAAGGCCCAGTTGGAAAATCTGGATGTAAATGGAAGGAAACTATTATAATTCATCCAAATGGAACAGTTTGTTTAAATCTCTACTGCATTAATTTGGCTGCAAATGGCGTCGAGTGATGGACTCTTTGTGTGTATGACGAGCAACATTTGGGTTTCAGAAGAGTCACAGATTTGTGTAGCTGAGCGACTATCAGATACTCTGAATGATCGAGTTCATGTAAAATGCATACGTTGTTTTTTGTTGAATGGTTGGATGGCAGTGAATTGGGATTCTTGTGGAAGAAGTCACGGTTTATTTGAGTTATCTTATGACATTTATCTTAATTTTCTGAGAACCTCCGCTACAGACCCCGCCCGTCCGGTATAGTCGGTGTTCGACATGATAACTCGGAGACTGGCGCTTACTCATGTGAAGGGGAGATGTCGGGCACGTGTCTGCGGGTTCCCCGAGCTGTTTGCGCATCGACGGAACTTTCCGTTACAGACAACAGACACATCACAGCCCATTGGACACGCGGCGCAGGTATTGTCGTCACCCTCAGTGTTTGTTCAGTTTTAACTGCGAAGTCACGTCTTCAGAAGTGACTTTATTTCGGTGGATTACTCCACAGACGCGCTCCGCTTTTAGAATAATTCGAGGCCGTGTTGTGCCCATTGGTTCTTCCTGTCTGTCCCCTCCACACTTCAGTGTTGCGGTGCAGGTATCGATGTTAAGTTGATATAAATATATAGCTTACAAAGAAGGAAAGAAAAGTGCTAGGAGCGGAATCCTGCTTCCTTAACGAGTTAGCAGTAGCTCAGTTGCGCAATTTGTGGAAACCTGAAAATACACCGCCGTCGTCACAATATCCTGCCACTGATCCCATTCCTGAGCTGGATGCGTCTAGCCCAGCCCTTTCCAGCTGTTAGTCTAAAATACTTTTTAATATTATACTTTCATCGACCTCATCCCTTCAGCTTTGTGCGATTCTTCCTCATATGCCCTTCATGACCCTTCTGTTTATCTGTCTATGGCTCTACAGCCCTTTGTTGGGCCCTGACCGCTTTTTCAGTTTCTTGATCTTTTTTTACACAGTCATTAGGATTCCTTGGGTGGGAGATCAGCCCTGCCACAAGGCCGCTATCTATAGAGGACAACACAAATATAGAAAAATGGAGACAGGACATCTATATAAGTAAAATTTCTCAGGCTGTCAACCATGTCAGTTGGTTAAAAATTATCGAAGTTTCAGATTGGAACAGGGATAGTCTCTGAAACGTCGGTAATTTTTAACCAATTGACACGGCTGATAGCCAGAATGTGTTTTAGACTCTGACGTCATGGAATTTTCAGATCCTATATCGGATATCCGTGCCTGAATTGGGATTCGAAACCATGATCCCAGTGTTTGAGGTGGGTAAAGACATTTTATATCTTAGAGCCCGCAAGCATTGTGATCGGTGTGTTTTCTTGAGGTCTGTAAGCAGCCGGTCTATTGCTCCAGTTTCTGTAGGCATCTGACGAATTCAGCGCCAATGTAGCATTTCAGGTTCTCACGGCTTCTGGGATATGACGCCGTGTAATTCAGTGAAAGTCGTTTCACAAGAATACACCGCTTCCGTCTTCAGGGTTGAAGAGTGAGGAAGCAAGGAACCAGGATGAAATGTGCAGCAAGTTAAACGCATGCATTTTATTGTAAACTAATCTAGTTACATAAGTAAATAAATATTGGTTGTATTTTATTTAATGCAGATGAAAGTAAAGAAGAAAACTATAGTAAACATTCCGTGTTCTCGTGGCAGTGGCTATGAAGTGGGGAAGTTGCTCGCTGGTAACGTCCTCTAGGACGGAAACAGAACGACGCTTCATAGCAGTGCATTTTGCTGCCTGTTTCTGCTGGTTTCTGGCTTGATTTGCACTTCGACGCTAAAGATGGACCCGTTAGGTTCCTCCGAAACGTCGTACATTCTCCGAACTATACGCCTTATAACCCAGAAGGCCGTGGAATTCGTCTGCGTACCTGACGTTCCTGTACGAACAGAATAATTTTGACCTGCGCACATTCAGATTCTCCTGTCTCCCGTCTCATTAATTATTTTTTTCCTAATGCGGGGAGACTGCGTCCACTTGGTACTGCGGCCATTGCTTGGCCTACTGTACCAGCCCCAGAGGATAGATGATGATAATTGTGGAGCAGCCGGTGGAATGCAAACTGGCAGGGGAAACCGAACTACTCGGAGAAAATCTACCCCAGTGTCACTTTGTTCATCACAAATCCCACAAGTCCCACGCGGTAGCGTAGTTGGTTGAGGCACCATGGTACAAGACTGAAGGTCGCGAGTTCGAGTCCCGATGAAGTCCTTTTTTTTCCAATTTACTTAATCCTTCCAGCCGCGCCGTTTCCCTAGCGTCGACTCAGTCTCTAACAGAAATGAGTATCAGGATTCTTCCTTGGGAGTAAATGGCGGTCGGACAGCGCGTAAGGCTGTGACAACCTCACCGACATCTGTGAGCTGATTGTCTAGTAACTGTGCGAGCGTCGACGTCTCACAACCCTATAGGCCTCCACGGCGTGTTACAGGGATAGCTTTACCTTACCTATAAGCTGTGTTAGAGTTAGCATAATTTTAAAATATGTAGGTTATACGGCGCATAACTGCTTACTGTATCGGATCATATCGCAACATATTGTTTCGCCCTGAACTTGAAGAATGTGTTCACGACATACACTTGAGGCGCGGAACTTTGTCTGGTCCCTGTACTAGCAGTCAGGGCAAGTGTTTCAGACACTCCAATGCATCGTAGGAAGTGATGAAGCCAATTGAAAACACGGGAGAATATATTTTAAATTTTATTTCTCACACGAGCACAGCACAGAACAGTTAACAACGCTTACAATTGTACTCTTTTTTCCCTCACCGGGGATGAAGGATGCGCATTGTCCTGTACTACCATTGCATCAACCTTGTTAGCTGGGGAGCGCACCAGAATGTTGATTTTAGGCCGATTCTGCTGTATCACTGGAACTCGCCGATGTGTCGCTAGCGTCGCTAGCATCAGATGCTGCAGTACTGGAATCCACTGCTTCCTGCACGCATGCGCCAGCCTCCTCGTTGATTTCCTTGTACTGATCAGCAGCCGACTGGAGGGATGCGTCAGGCTTGGAGGCGCTGGCCTCAGCCTGAGCCTGAGCCTGCTGTACCGCGGACTGGATAGCAGCGCTCACTTGATTGGTGAGATTTTGTAACTGAGCAGTAGCGTCATTAAGGCAGCTTGATGATGATGACGATGACCAGCATATTGGGAGAATGCTTAGTACACGATTGGCGGAGCATTGCAGGAAAGTCGATGGGATCTGGGCGAGGGCTTTTGTTGCATCACTTACAGCCGCACTGACGTTCTTGCTGGCAGACTCGATGGCTGCCTGTTGGCTTTCAGCTTGTGCCTGAATCTGCGTCTCTGCGAACAAAGAGTTCCAGAATATATAGCCCCGTTTCTTAAAGCAAGATGTCTGGATATACAGTAGGATACTTGTGATCAAATTATGCATGTACTATGAAACCTGAATTCCATGTAATAATTTTCTCCGTAAATTAATAAGTATTAATTTATGTGTTTAATTAACACAACGTCATTGTGTTACTGCTTGTAGTGCAACATATATGAGCACTTCCAAGACAGGTAAAGCAGTCATTTGCCCCCTCTGGAATATTGAAAATGATAGTAGTTTCCGGAAAAAGTATTGATGCCCTCTGAGGATGATCCGTAGGGATCGGAACATGTAAGGGTGATGAGTTTTCAAGTGATAAAACTTAAATAGTCACACTAGACGGAATTGTTTTTGTCTTTGTAAAGAAATCAAATTTGAAAGAAGAATGAGATATACCCAAAATTATTGGAAAAATGCAAATAATTAAAAAGAACATTCCTGTATGTTTCATACGCTGAGCATATTAATAAGAATAGTATTAAACGGCTTGAATGAAAATGTGTAAGCAATTTTGTGACTGCTCTTCCTCCCCAACCTGAGAACTGTCTTACCTGAAGGGGAAAACATTTTTTATGGCATCTGTATCATCATAGACATATTTATATAGACTTTGTAGGAATACATGTGGTCCACCCCCCTTTTAAATAACCTTCCCTGTTCAAGTGCTTCAGTAGTTATCGTCTTCAACGCCAAACACAACTACCCCGGTCACTGTTAAGTTGTTTCGTAATGTACAAATGCAGCCCAATACATGATTGAGTGAAGTATTACTTTTTCTTCTAAGCCTATTGTACCAGCCGCTGATAAAAAGTGTGGTAATTCGTGTTGGCATTGCCATTTGCAAAAGCATAGATGCACGTGTACACTGAAGAAAATGTGCCCCAAAGCCACTTCATACGCCACCATTCCTACACCGTCCACTCTGACACATATTCAGGAGCCAAGGCATTACTCAGTTGCCTCTTTCTATAAGTAAATGTAAGGTTCGCTCCGCTCCCGTTGCAGCGGGTTCGCGGTGAGGCGAACAGAGGCGCCACTTGACGGTATGCTTACGAGGTGCGAGTATGTAGTGGCAGTTCGTTTTAATGTCCCCCTCCAGTTACGAGTTGAGGGATGCGTAGCTTACGATTCTACACCTATAGGCCTATGGCCGTAGGCATGCGCATTTACTCATGGTCATTCAGGTCTGTTCGTAATTTACCGTATTTACGCATGTATAGACCGCGTGCGTGTATAGGCCGCAGCACAATTTTCAGACAGAAATTATAGAAAAAATAATTTTCTTGGAATATTATTTCAGGAGTAGAAATTATTCCGAAATTTGGAAATATATTTTTTTTTAAATGAAGTGTGATTTCGAATATTTCGAATATAAGCCGCACCCCAGTTTTCCTCTTGAATTTTTGGCAAAAAATGTGCGGCCTATATATGCGTAAATACGGTATGTTTAGTTTCGTTTGCCGCCCACTGTGCAGCAATACAAAGGTTTAAAATTCGTCACTGCGCTACATGTCTCGGGCAGTTGTAATTACGTGTACTTACTTGTGCTATTCAGCACTGCTTCGTATTCTTTGGTAAGATTTTTCGTGCAAGCTTGGATTTGGGCTTCAGCTTCTTTGGCGGAGGAGACTGCGTCACTGACGTTCTTCTGCAGGCTGCCGAGCGAAGCCTGAGCTTGCGACACGGCGTTGCTTGTAGCATTCTGTACGTAACTCTGGACGCTCTTTTGAATATTGCTTAAAATTTCTTGGCTCTGGGTAGCAATTGCAGTGATCTGCTTTTGGAAATTGCTGATGGCGTCATCTATGGGCCCTCCTGCGGCGAGCTGCAAGCAAGTATATTACGTGAGTGTGTCAGGAAATGTTGCCAGTAACTTGTACCGGGAGACAGTCCCTATTGCTTGGTGCAGCCTAGCTAATATGTAGTGTGAAGTATTTTGGGCATGTCTGTACTGACGTGTTGACTTGCAAACATTACCATGAACAAGACTCTTAAAACGTTAATTTTAACTAACGAGATATTAAAACATTTTACATATTCAGCTTTCAACGCAACAAATGTTTTATTCATTGATTTAAAATCAACACTACATGTTTCGACCCTTAAAGGGCCATCTTCAGATACACATTTGATCATTGGCCTGTAACGCATGGTCTTATATCAACATCTACTAAGTAAGATTTAAGGTTTTCACGGCGGTGACTATGAAAAATGCCGTCTTCTGGGATGGTGCGCCGTGTAGATCTTGTGTGAACCGGCGTTTCGAAGGAAAGTCGGTTCACACACGATCTACAGCGCACAACATCCCAAATTAGTGCTTGTCTAATTTATTCTGTTATTTGGAGACATGATTCGTTCTCTGGTGTTGCTATGCCCTGTGCTCATATCCAATTAATACTACATTACTGTATTCATTCTGTTTTCTTGGTGTTTTGTTTGGCTGCGCAGTCGATGTTGTGTTTAGCTGCACAGTCAGTGTTGTGTTTAGCTGCACAGTCGGTGTTGTGTTTAGCTGCACAGTCAATGTTGTGTTTAGCTGCACATTCAGTGTTGTGTTTATCTGCACAGTCGGTGTTGTGTTTAGCTGCACAGTTAGTGTTGTGTTTAGCTGCACACTCAGTGCTGCTGTAGGTCGTTGTGCTTCTAAGTTTTTGTGCTCACGGCTGAGCATGTGAAAGTTTTGATGTTTTGTTAGTTATAGTTCACACAACAAGACACAAACAATAGAAACACGTTAAAATATGATAATTCAGTATGAGTGCGAAGGGCCCGGAAGAGCAGCGGGTTGCAGTTCTCACCTGGAAGGCGCACAGTGCTACGATCACAACCTTAGCGTTCATGTTGCAGGGTTTTCTGTCGGCTGCTCTGTACCCTGTCAGCAGCCCTGCCCTGCTTTTATACCAAAGAAATGGGCACACGACTGACGCACGACCCACCACCTGTATAAACATATCTGTCGTTGTATATTATATAATTCTCAAATACGATAATTGTTATATGTGTCTAAGTAGAAGGTGTTTGATGGGCATTAATTTTTGACTAGAAATGCAGGCGTAGCATAGATTTTGCGCTACCATAAGTAACTTTCTGGAAGTGATGCAGATCACTTGACTCATTTTGCAAAGGGTCACTCGGCTAGGGGGCCCCAGAGTCTGTCTGGGCGCTGTCCCTCTATTAGCAATGTGGCCAGCCGGCAGCCTGGCCCCTGTATTTGCTAAGCTATTTCGGCTCTTTTCTGAGGAAAGTAATGTAAAATTATATAACTTGGGCTAATGCCTTAAAGAATAATACATTTAGATTCGTGATAGTGTGGTATTTTGAGGCCGGTACAGGCAGTTAGCACGTCTGAGATATGTAGAATTTAGGAATAAGCGTAGAGTGACAACGAGTCTCCTTTCAAGATGCCTTGTACCCTTCACCAAGAGTTACAGATATGTAGTTTATTGACCAACCCCGCAAGTGTCTAGACTGTACAGCATCGCATAGTGGTTGTTGGTGTGCAGTGCATTGGAAAAGATTTTGTAGGTGGTCTTTGTGTAATCGAGGTGTTACCCTAGCATCTTTCTAGGGTGGGCTCCTGACGAAAATGGCGAAATACCTCACTGAGTATAACATGTGTCCCGTCCGGTGTTCGAACATAGCACATCCAGAATAGGAGCCTAGAGCGTTAAGCGTTGCCGCTACGCTAACTTGCTCGATCCTGCTCTTGATGTGAAATATATAGATATAACTTCGGATTCTATATTGTGGCATGACGACAGAAAGCAGAAATCGCGGAGCCATAGTAGACGTCCATTGCTAGGCAACGGTTCGGTAAGCACGTTCCCGCAGAGACAAAAATGTGACAATGCCGTTGCTGGGGCAGCATATTCTTGGTAAATAACCCGTTACTGGGCAACGCAAACACATTTCCATGGAAACGGTGTTTTTGTGGATCCGCCCCGAGGCTATTTAACGAGGAAGTTAGGTCAGTCAAGGAGAACTGAGAGGGTCTCTGGAGATAACAGTAGAAGGATTGAGAGAGATGGTTCTGAGAAGAAGACTCCATATGTGCTGCAGTGATAGACTATTATAAATCCGTTGCCAGGATACGGCTAGTGAAGACAGAGAAGACTTAGAGTGTCCTAGTGATTTGTAAAGTGTGTAGATCGACGATAGCGCTGTATTACTTGTAGTTCTGAGTGATGTTTATAAGGTGTGCAGTGAATCCAATCATCCATTCAAAAACCCGTCTATACACGCAGATTCACAACCCTAATACGTGACAATATGAATTCGGTGAATTTCCTGACTAGCTGTGCATCTGACATCATCAAAGAGGATTTCGTCCCATGGAATTGGTTAGTTGTTTGCTGTATTTCAAGATGTGTAATTTTGTGATTCTTTTCTGTGTCTGTGTACAGGCAGAGGCCTTGCGACGAGCTGATCACCCGCCCAAGGAGTCCTACCGAATGTGTAAGATCTAGAAAAACCGAAGCGAACGGAGAAGTTCATGGAGGTAGGCCTAGGCCCACTGGGGCTGTAGTGCAAAGGGAAAAAAATTTTGTAATTCAGACTTCCCTTGTCTTCACCTACTTTCCCTTCATTGTCCTTTGCATCCCTTATCCGTCTATATTGTACTTGTATGAAGTCATAATTAGACAGGCCTGCATAATGTTTGGCAGGTATTCGATGCCCTGCAACGGCGGTAGAGGAGTAACATGAAAATTCATCGTAAATATGACGTGAGAATGTGAATTTAAATTAATAGTCACAGAGCTTTTAATCCAAGACACTGCGATCCATTCTGAACCGACCTTGGTACATAAACAGCCATGAAGAACTACAAGTGAACGCAGTGCTCAGTGAAGTAAAAAGGGGAATACCAAACACTTAAGAAAGTTAGAAACCCACACTAATGCACTAGCAGTGAACATACTAGACAACAGCTGAAGTGCACAGAGATCTGAAAGATACTCCGTCCTAACTCTACCAGACAGACCTGAGGAAAACCCCAATACAAAAAATGAAATGATGCCTAAGTGAACAACAAAAGGAGTATATGAGTTACGCCACTGGACACAACTCATTCACGAGCCAGTACTTATTGAACATATTGTAATGGCCGGAGAACAGTCGCTCGGCTCACTTCGGCTCCGCTCGGCACGTCACGGCTGGCGGGGCGGGAGGGGCGTCATTCATAGCGTAACACGTCACAATATACATTTATTGCAGAGTCTGCAGAACATGTATGCATAATAAATGCGTGAAAAAATAGTGTCAGACCAATATCTGACTATCGAACACTGTAACTACGCGGGTATTGCATTCTTGAAAGTCGCTCTGTATATATAAAACGCGTATAAACAAAATGGCTGGCTGGAGTTACTGGGCAACTAGGTTGTTAGGTGGCTGAGGTGATGCAGGTGAAATTGAATTTCACGCGAGCTCCTTCGTGTCCGACATCTTCTGTTGTGACCGCGTATCGGAGATGTACACTGCTGTGCCCGGATAGGGGGCATTGACTGTACTCACCCCCTGTTGGACGTCCGTGGATATCACTTAACCTATTCTGTGGAAAACATGTTTCACTAGGAGGGTCACAAAAACCCGAGTTCTCAAAACAACAACAAAAAGGGAATATATAATCAAATATACCACTCGTACAACTCTATATTCTAAGAACACATTAACCAACCAAAATAATTTAAACCAGAAGTTCTAATAAGCAATGAGTGACCCGACCACGGGCAAGTACTCACTCGCGCTAAACATGATGCACATGAAAAACACTGGCGCCATCCCAAGGTTTTCCACAGGCACACTTTGCTTTACTCGTCCGTTTCTGGCAACTGCTAGAAACAGAGTGCCTGAAACGGCCTGTTTTTTTTCCCCAATTCCAAGATTCAACTTTTTTTCCCCAAGTCGCGAAAGCTGCGCGCGCGAAATCCCTAAGGTCGGCAACTTGCCGGACATGCCTTGTCGCGCGAAGCGAACTTGACCGGATCTTTCCATTGATGCGTAAACAATCTTTTCTAAAGACAATTCTATCGACTGCCAAGGAATGCGAGGAGTCAGCCGCGCTCTGTCTCCTCGCCTTCCGGCCAGCCGTCTGACATTTTAACCTAAGCACACAATCTTACAAAAATTATACTTAATAACTAAGAAAATGAGCACAACAGCACTCCTCATGACACTGAAGTGTATCAGCTGATATGGGACAACGTGGAAAGCGAAAGCGCGTATAACGAAAGTCACTCGTACAGGGAGCTTAATTTCGGGAGTCGGAGTTACTTTACCATTGGCCGCGCCATAGCTCAAGCGGTTAGTCGCTGGCTTCACACCGCGGCGGCCCGGGGTCGATCCCGGGTCTGGTGAAGTGGGATTTGTCGTGGACAAAGTGGCGCTGGTGCAGGTTTTCTTCGAGTACTTCGGTTTCCCCTGACAATCTTCATTCCACCAATTGCTCCACAATCACCCTCACCTATCATCTGGGGCTGGTATAATAGGCCAGAAGTGGCCGCGTCCCACCTCACTAGCATAAAAAAAAAGAATTGCTTTACGATTGGCGTGAAGCCCCATGAGGATCACGACCAGAGATTTTCTCCAACTGAAACACTGAGGTCATGATCCTTATGTAACATCCTCTCTGACGAGAGGATGGATTTGTCTCTTATGATTAGGCTTGGCCTTCTGAAATATATAGTTTCGACACATTTATGTTCGATATCAAAACAACTCTGAGAATTCGTCATGCCCAGAGTAGGCAACCTTACAAAAGAAAATATCTCTCTGCCCAACGACATCACCGCGACTATTTTGGTTCCCATCCCATATTGACAGTACTGTAATCCGTTAATTTCCCAACGATATGACGTGAAGGTCAGAGCCACCTGCTGGTGATGACGCAGTCTCGAAGGTACGCTACGCCTTTCACTCATCAATGTCAGTACAGCCCTTTTGCTGGGCCCTGGCCTGTTCTTCAGTTCCATAATCTTTGTTACACAGTAAGCAGGAATCTTGGGCGAGTGATCAGCCCGTCGCAAGGCCTCTGCCTAAACACAGGACAGCACAAACACAGAATAAATGCACACACAGACATCCATGCCTGTAGTGGGATTCGAATCCATGATCCCAGCGTTGAGCGGGGGAAGACAGTTCATGCCTTAGACCGACCGGCCACTGCGATCGGCTACGCAAGGAACACGAAGAGGCAATAGGGTAAGGCTTATCCGGAAGCGAAAATAATTTCTCCAAATATTTTAAAATGGAGGCAGCATGTTCTCCGAAACGTAGGTATCCATCTATAAGCTTGTACGTTGTCACAACCAGAAACTTAAAGAATTACAATGCATTTCTGCTGTTGTATGCATACGCTCTCTGTTGTGATGCAATACTTTTCGTAATCTTGTCATCGCCTAACTCTGTGTTGACTTGTGCACACGTCTCATCTGTAGCACCACCTGCGTAAACACACGCCAGTACCTACTTCTGCACAGTGGATCATTCACGTGGCATAACATTTGCTTGCTACAACCTGTGCAACTGTTTGCACATATGTTTACTGGTGTGCAGCTCTGTGAGTGAGGCGAGTTCAGTATTCAGCAGTCATTACCTTCAAAATTACTAGTGCATGTCGTAGGAAGAATGTACAGAATATCATGAAATAATGGCTGAAAGCTGGAATAGCGGAGCCAGAAAAGGCGGCCGTCGCTAAACAACGGCAAGTAAACTCATTCCCGCATCAACAAACACGTGGGCCATCCCTAGGCAACAGTCCGCTTGACACGCCACACAACAGTAGAGGAACTGCTGGAAGCGTCGTTTTTTGTGCAGTCCATCCCGAGGCTAAATAACGAGGAGCAAAGCTGGCGGTGGTCAAGTAGCCAAGGCCTTGAGCACGTACGTAAGG